TTGGAAGCGAGCTTGGTTTGAACCATAGCTTGGAACCTTAGCTGAAACCAACCCCTTTGGCTGAAACCAACCATGTGACACCAGCCGTCACAGCTAAGGTTTTCCGAAAACTATTAACTATACTAGGTTTTTATAAAGTCTAAGGAGGTTTCTTACTTCTGAGAGAATTACAGAAAATAATAAGTAATTAATTGATTTAGTTATAAAATACTAAGTAGTACTAAGGCTACTATAAAGAACTCTAGTCTCCTAAACTCTATCTCTCAAACATATAAATAAAGCTTTTTCTAACCTACTTTTTTATATATATTTCTATATTAAAAGACCTTGTATTAAACTATAAAACTTTATAATACCCGGTCTACTATTAATTAGATAATAACTCTAACTCTACTATTACAGACTACTATATTATTAACCGATAAATAGATTAATATTTATAATATACTTTATCTAATTAATAGTAGATCGGGTATTACAAAGTTTTATAGTTTAATATAAGGTCTTTTAATATAGAAATATAAAAAAGTAGGTCGGGAAAAGCTTTATTTATATACTTGAAAAACGGAGTTTAGAAGACTAGAGTTCTTTATAGTAGCTTTAGTATTATTTAATATCTCTTCTATTAATTCATCTAAAGCCTATTCTTATTATAATTACTTCTTATTTCCTATTTCTCTTATAATACAGGCTATAACTGCATTTTCTATAATATATTAGACTATTAATAGGTTAGTAGATATATAATATAAGAGAAATAAAAAGATATAGAAGAAAGTTTACTAGATAGTAATAGTAGTAATAAAGAATTAGGAAACTAGAAATGCCTTAAACTGGAATAGTAAAGTCTAAATACTAGAGTAATTATAACTATTTATAGTACTTTATATAAAAAGCTTATATATTAAATTAATTAATTAATTAATAGGTTAATATATTATAATATAGGAATTTCAGAAGTTTTAGTAATATAATATAAATAAAATAGCTAAAATATACTAAAACTATTAGATACCTATATATAATAGTTTCTCCGAAACTCTATAATCTTAATTAGATTAATTAATTTAATTTACGTTATTGTAATATATATTTATATAAATTCTAGACCTTTCGGACCGACAAAAACTTAAAGAAAGCATTTTCTTAAGTTTTAGTAATATAATATAAATAAAATAGCCAAAATATACTAAAACTATTAGATATCTATATATAATAGTTTCTCCGAAACTCTATAATCTTAATTAGATTAATTAATTTAATTTACTTTATTATAATATATATTTATATAAATTCTAGACCTTTTGGACTAATAAAAACTTAAAGAAAGCATTTTCTTAAGTTTTAGTAATATAATATAAATAAAATAGCTAAAATATACTAAAACTATTAGATATCTATATATAATAGTTCTTCTAAATTCTATAATTTTAATTAGATTAATTAATTTAATTTACTTTATCCTAATATATATTTATATAAATTCTAGACTTTTCGAACCGACAAAAACTCAAAGAAAGTATTTTCTTAAGTTTTAGTAATATAATATAAGATTAGACTTATATTACTAACTTTTCTAAGCAAAAATAAAAAATATTTAATTATTTAATTATTATTTAATTAAGTTAGTACAATTATATAATTTATAATTATTAATGAAAATAAAGGTTATATAATAATAAAAAGAACTATATAAATATATTTTATTTTTTTCTTTTACTAATATCTATATTTTTTAAAGCTAGTATCTAGTTAATAAAATTACTAATATCTTTCTAGTTCTTTTCTTTATTATTATCTTAAATAGCTTTAATCTTTACTAAATTATTCTTTAGATTTAGTAATAAATCTGCTATTAATTTCTCTAAAAGCTTTGCTTTTCTATTTATTTCTTTTATTACTATATATATTAATCTATAATTAATATATATAAAATAAAGCTTATTTATAGTTTTAACTAGTATTTAATTTCGCATTTTCGATTATAGGAAGTTTATAATAAAGAAAGCTTATTCGGAAGTAACTAAATTAATAATAGTATATAAAGAATTAAGGGCTAGTTTTAATAATTCTAGAGATTTAGTTACTTATTATAATTAGTATATAAATAATAAGAATATTAGTAACTTACTAAAAGCTCTTAAAAAGATCTAGTTTAACTAGAAAAATAAGTCTAATAAGAGTTTAAAGAATAGAAATTCCCTTGCTTCTTCTTATATTAATAGAACTTATAAAAGTCCTGAATTCCAAGCCTTTCTAATATAAAAGTATTAACTTATATAGCAAATAAATTAGTAAGAATAATACTATAGTTTTCTAAAAGAAATATATATATTACTAGATAAATAGATTAAAGCTATACCTTTATTTATATAGTCTATTTTCCTTTACTAATATATATATAGTAATTATTAACTTGCTTCTATTATAGCTTATTGCCTTATATCTAATATATTTAAAAGTAAGTATTAATTACTATCTAATAAAAATATATCTTTCTAAGTATTAAATAATTTAATTTAAACATTTTTTAGTATATATAAATAAGCTCTAGAACCCGCTTTAAGGCCTTATTCTTCTACTAATTATTATTATTATAATAGAGTATTAACTTAATTATAATTAGTTCTCGAGAATTATTATTTAGATATTTAATATATACTTTTAAAGCTTTAGACAATCTATTAATAGAGGCAATTTAATATATTTAAGTATTCTAGTATATTAGTATAATTATAATTAAGGCAATAATTCCTCTATATTTCTTTATAGCCTTTTATAAATATATTAATTACTTATCCGATTTCGAAAATATACTAATAATTTTATTTGAAAAGTTCTTAAAGAAGATACTAGTTATAGTAATAATTTAGTTCTAGAAAAGGTCTTTAAAAATTAGTTAAATTTCATAAGAATTATATAGTACTAAGAAAATATAGAAAGTATCTGGATTTTCAATAAGATTAGACTATATTCTTCTTTATATATTACAGATATTAGAAAAGAAAGTAGTCTAATAATTTAAAGAACTCTATATAATCTTATTTACTTCCTTAATTATATTTTTAACTATTTAGCTTGCTCCTACTTTAATAGCTTTAATTCTAACTGAATTCTAATAGTATAAGATCTCATTTACCAGAAATAATATATTTTTAATATATATCTTACTAATATTTAAAGAGCTATTAGTAATAATTTAAATATAAGATACTATATCTACTATCTATTATACTTTTAATTTAATCTTATTATACTAGAAGTTAAGGAGTATTCCTATAAGAGTTTTATAATTCGGAGCTTTAAAGCCTACTTTTAGGTAAAAGGCTTTCTATTTAGAAGTATTAAATTGAGAGAAACTATATATTAAGTAAAGATAGCAAGTATAAATAGTTCTTTAGCTAACGAGTTTTTAACCTTAAAATAATTATATATAGATAGCTATTTCTTCTTCTATACTATTAAATTAATTCTATAATTCTTTTAATATTGCTTCTAACCTTTATATTTCTTTAAGTAAGGGCCCAGATTTATAGTAGTATTCTATAACTTTAGTAGAATAGAATAGTACTTATACTAGGCTTTCTTGCTAATAAATCCGTAATTAGAAGTGGGATAAATAAAGGCAAACTGAGCTATAAGGAGCTTATTACTATAGGTACTATTAGTATTAGTTACAGGCAGTATAGTAGTGAATTTACTAATATATAGGAAGGATCGTTCTGTAAAGTAGAAGAAGTGCCTGTTACATGTATTGATTTCCAGCCCTCTGATTAGCTGGATTCAAACCCTCCTCAGAACCCACTTAATTTAATGCTTAATCGGCTCAAGAGCATTATATTTAATTATATCTTAATGGGGTAGTAATTAAATTTAATTATCCATTCCTATCTCTGAGTGCCGGTGCTATTGCCGGTACTGTTGCCCCCCCCCACAAAAAAAAAAAAGAAGCCCTCCATTAGTTCGCTGGCTCTAATAGCTTCCTTTCGTTAACGAGCAAGTAGGCCCCGCGAAAACCGTCTATACACTCTGCCATCTCAGCATCAAATTGATCGTCAACCTTGCTATCGACAGTCGGACGTCTGGTAGACTGTCCAATAGCCAACCTAATAGTAGTAATCAAAAACTTTACACGTGGTACCTTATGGTAATAAAAGTTTTTTTTATGGTAGGCTAGTAAATTGGGCCGAGTGTCGAAGCTAAATGTGTACCGATGCTGATGGACAGGGCTAGGTTGGGCATAAAGGAGCACACGGCTCCAACAAGACGTCTTTGTTCCAAGCAACGCAGCATTCATTGACACGTCCAAGCATTTTGAGGGGCGAAAAGACCATTTCCTTGCAATGGATAGCAGTACGTTCTATCGTGTTACCAAACACCCTCTAAGCCTTTTAGCATCAAGCTACATTCTTGGTGCACTATCCTTGATTTACCTCCCGCCAAAGCCGCCTCTACGCCTGGGTGTTCTTGGGGTAATAGTGGCGTATACCCTTGCCATTTTCCAATATGCCGATACTTCCCAAATTCGGAGCTTCAATATCCACCTCTACGGATGCTCGCATGTGTGTGTCCTCCTCTACAGCAGCTACTTTCTGTGTCTCGCTCCGGAATCTCCCCCACTGACCGCGACAACGTTCACTCAAAAGGTATCTTGGGTATACAGGGTGATCTCGAACCCTCGTGGAATAGGCACGTCACGGGAACTCAAGCACCTGCCACGCTTCTCTCGTCTTCCAGGCTTCACTCGAAGCACTCCAACAAACACCATATCCCGCACTGAGTTTCTCATTAGTCGCACTCTCACCTGCTTCTTCTTTGTCGAGCTTGCGGCAGCGCTCCGTAAATTTGACGAGACTTACTACTGGCCCTCCTTGCGCGATGGCGACTTTTCGCTAGAACGAGAACGTTTCATCCGACGTCTGATTGGTGTTGATGCGCGGGAAGTCTTGATCCGCCTCTATCTTCCACTTCAGTTTTTCCTCCCGACGTACAACTACCTTTCTGCGGTCCATTCTGGACTTTCCGTTGTCTGCGTTCTCTGTGGGCAGGAGCCGGCGGCTTGGCCTCCACTCTTTGGCTCTCTTGCAGATTCGACAAGCTTGCGCCAGTTCTGGGGGCATTTCTGGCAGAGCTTTCACCGTAATGCGACTGTTGCGCATGCGTCTCTCCTTACACATGATTTCTTGCGTATAAAAAGGGGTTCGCGGCTCAGTCGCGGCCTCTTGACTGTACTTGTGTTTGTTATGAGTGGATTGATGCATTCGTGGTGTGCTAAGTTGCAGTCAAGGAAGTGCGGTGCAGCTCCGGTGATGCTCTGGTATTGTTTAGCCGCTGCGGGAATCGTGATTGAGGACTGCGCTCAAACAGCTTACGAGGCTGTGGAGGCACGCCTTTGGAAAGAACTGAAAGCCCCTCGGATGACGACTCGGCATGAGGTCTTGGGATACATTTGGGTATGGGTATTCTTTGCTTGGTCGTTGCCCAAAATGGTGTATCCTAATTTTGCCTGCGAGCTTACGGAGTCTTAGTAAGGAGTATCGGCTGACAACCCACTGGAGACTCGTAGTACAAATCTTGAGGAGAAATACATACAGTTTGATTAGTCACAAAAAATATCTATACTTTTATAGTAGTAAATACAGGCTATATGGCTGTATACAGGCTGTATTTTCAAAATATTATACAGGATGTATCAAAAAATACTCTTTAATACTTAATCTTTATATTATTATATATATAATATAATAATACTAACTTAAGTTTTATAATTATTAAAATCTTAACCTTTTTAATAAAACCTAAGTTATTCTCTTTATTTTAAGCTCTTTAACTCTAAATACTTACTTTAGAATATTTTTCTCTTATAAATCTAATATTATATTTCTTATTTAATTTATTTAAAATTTCTTTCAAATAATAATTTAATTCTTAACTTATAAATTTCTTATTATATTTATATAAAATTTTAATTTAACTTTAATATTATTATTATTACTTTCTTGTTTTATATTATAATTATATAAACTATTATATTTAATTAGTTTATACTTTTATATCTTTAAAATATTCTATTATTACTAAAAATAATATAAGTTATTATAGTTAGACTATTACGTGAGTTCGTTATAGCCGGTACGGCTAGCCTAAACCAGGTTAGAGGCATATTAGTAGTATTTCGGACTTGTATAAAAGAAAGTACCTCCTACTTACTTTATATTTTCTTTCTTATCTTTTTTGTATTCTTTATATTCTAGTCTATAATAGAATTATATTTAATTAAATAATATACTTCTATATGTCTCTTATTTAATTATAATCTTATTATATATTATATAAGTAATTTGTTAGATTTTATTAAATACTATTAACTTCTAGTTATATAATATATTCTAGTTCTTATATTCTAATCTTTGTATTATATAACTTATAATATAACTTCTTACCTACTTTTTTATAAGTAAAAACACTCTTATTTTAATATATTTCCTTAGAATTACTTAATAATAAATATTACTTTTTATTTCTTTTATACTTTTTCTTGTTTTTATTATATCTTTATATTAATATCCTTTTTTTTAATAATATATAATAAGCTTAGACCTTAAATTATTATTATATAAAGCTATATATACTTTTATTTTATTTGTTTTTTAGAAGTAATTAAATGTATTTTAATCTTTTCTTTTATAGCTATATTATAAATAACCTAATCTATATATATTATCTTATTATTATATTTAGATATTATATATTACTAAATATTATTTACTTTAACTATATAATATACTCTAGCTTCTATATTCTATAACATATAATAAAATGTCCTAGTCTAATTTATTTCTTAATAAATAGAAATATTCCTGTTTTAATATACTATTTAACTACTAGGTCAAATACTACTATAGTATTAATTATCTTATACCTATAAACCAGCTTACTATACTTCTGCTCTAGCTACTCTAAATATTATAGAAGAGAAACTATAATAAGACAAAAACCTATATAAAGTATACTAGAGTATAAAACGTAACTTAATAGTAAAATAATAAATTAAAAGTATAAATAGTAAAACATAAATAATATATAGTATATAAAAGCTTAATTAATTAAATATATATAAAGGATTATTCTCTAAGTCTATAGAAAAACCAGCTTTCTTATATAATTCCTATAAGTTATATATAAAAGGCTATAGCCTTTACTATATAACCTAAACCTTAAAACTATTAAAATAATATAATTTTTAATAAGTATAGCTTATTATATTATATCTGATTTCCTATATATTTATATTTATTTCCTAAATACCAAAAATAACAGAAAAATCCTATTTAGAATCCAAAATAATAAAATATTTAGAATCTTCTTCTATTAGTTAATTTAACTTCTTCTTTATATACCTAAAATAAAACTTATTATTCTTAAATAGTCTTATTTTATATTCCTGAATTTACTTAAAGGCAATCTGAATCTACTTAGCTATATTTTTATACTAAATCTAATATAGTTCTTTATATTAATTAGTATCTATTTTTAATTATTACTTAATTTCTGCCTTTATTATAGGATATTAAAAAGGCTTATTATAGTAAATTATATTATAAATTATATTAATATATTTTAAATAGATAGCTTCTTTAAATTTTATATTATTTATAATATCCTTAAATTAACCTTTAATAGAAAAGGAAAGCTCTAGATAAAAGGCATTAATAACTTTATAGAAAACTTCATTTTTATATATTTTATCTTTAATAATAACTAGACTTATTAGAACTATAATAAAAGATCTATTAAATAGTAAATTATTATTAAGCTATTCTTTAACTTATATATTATCTGAGAATTAATACTTTCTCAGAATTTCAAACTTATAGATTATTTAGCTAAAAGTATTTATTTGTCTAGTTATATAGATTATACTTGAAATCTTTTCTTCTATTATCTTTAGTAAATACTTATCTAATTCTTTAGCTGCTTCTAGTTCAAATTCATTAGAAATAGAGAAGTAATTAATATTGTTAAAGAACTTCTTATTAAAGATAGTAGCCTTTTTATAGTCTATAAAGAAAATATAGCTAATATTCTAATACTTTTTACTAAAGTAGAATTCGCTATTTAAAGCTTTAATAGTAGCCAGATCTTTAGTATTGCCTTTATATTAATTATAATTAATATTTCCAGAAGTAAAATATTATACTAGCTAAAAGTATATAATTAGATAAATAGGATACTTACTTAATATCTTATAAAATCCGAGCTATATTAATAGATCTATTATTAAAAGTTAAGAAACTAAAATAAAATAGCTATTATTAAGATCTTTATATATTAATATATTGTTTTTTTTTTAGAAATAGAACTATAGTATTTCTATTTTCTTTATTAAAAGTTTTTAAATACTAAGCTTTTTAATCTATTTTAGGTAATTCTTCTTATAAATATAACTATTTATATCTAGATTAGTAATACTAGATTTAGAAACAGAAACTATAGTATTAAATTAGAGCTATAGATTTAAATAAAATTAATTAGAAATATAGTATTTGTATTTATATTTCTTATTTACCTGAGTTTTAAAAAAGAAATTCTGTATTTTCTTATTTATTTAAATAATAGAAATATATTCCTTGCTTTTAGTAACTTTATAGATCTTAGTAACTAGCTTTAGAATATTATTAATATTATTAATATCTTTTATATTAATAGAGAAAGTATTAGTAAACTACTAAATATATATTATATAAAGAGCTTTAAGGAATTTATTAGTAATTCTATAATATTCTTATTTATAAATAAGTTCTAAAATACTATTATATACTTCTTTAAAAATATATTTATTCTATTAAGTAAATATTAGCTTCTATTTAGCTAATATCTTATAGGTATACTAAATATTTTTTTTAAGTTCTCTAAACTTAATATCTTTAGTTTTCTATTTCTTAATTCTAGATATAAATATAGAAATCTTTCTGAATAGTATCTTTTCTTTTAGAATAGAGAGCTTTCTCTTACTTTTCTCTATTTCTCTAATCTTATACTTAGTTTAATACTTAGATTTCTACTATTTATTAGAAGTTTTAAGCTTAGCTTATTTCTTTTTCTTACTAGATTCTTCTTATCTAATTATACTAGTTATACTAGTCTTACTAGTAGCTTTCTTATTAGGTTTTATTAAATTAGCTCTATTTTTCTTAGCTAGATCTAGTTAAATTAAAGCTGAAATTATAATAGAAGTCTATTCTTTAGGCTTATTTCGGAAAGCAGAAAAAAGCTTATTATTATAAGCTTCTTTAATTAGAATTCCGGAAGTATTAAAGATATATTATTTAGTTTTAAAATTATTAGCTAATAATAACTTAAACTTTAATTCTTTAAGTTTCAAAATAGCTTTAATATACTTGAGTATTTTAGTAATATCTAATTTAATAAATATACTAGTATTCTAATACTTCTTATTTTTAATATATTCTAAAATAGTTTTATTAATTAACTAAATAGCTTTATATATTAAAGCTTTTATTTTAAAAAGAAAATATAATTTCTTATAGATATTCTTACTAAAGTTATTATAAATATTATTAATATATTAGCTAAAAACTTTACTATATAATATAATTCTAGTCTGACTTTTAGTTTCTAGACTATTTATTATAGTCTTAATTTTATTAAGCTTCTTTTATCTACTTTTGGAAATGCTTTTAATAATATTCTCGAATTCTCTATTATTAGCTTAGTAATTCTTTAGTTTCTTCTTAATTAATCCTAGTCTAGTTCTATCTCTAATAAAGGTTTTCTATTTTAAAAACTTATTATATATATTATTTAGCTTATCTAAAATATTTATATTAAATTCGGTAATTATAGCTATTTTTTCAGGTATTAATAGGCTTTCTATAACTGTCTAAGCTTCTTTAATACTCTAAACTTTAATACTATTAATTTATAGGCTTTTAATAATACTATAGCTTATAAGAACTAGCTACTATACTTTACTAACTTAAGAAATCTATTTTTTAACTATTTTATTATTTTTAAAGATATTATAAAAATATTATTAATATAATAGTTATTAGTTATAGAGTTAAAGGTTCTTAAGATTATAAGAATTTCTTTTAAATATATTCTAAAATAAAGAATGAATTAAAATAGACTTGAATTATATAAAAATATTATATATATTTGAGTTTTTCTTTCTTTTTAGTAAGAAAATAAAGCTAAAATAGTAATATATATAATAGAGAAAGTAAATATAATAATTAGATATATTTAAGATAATATAATTATAAATTAGAAATAATTATAAAAAGTAAAATATAAAATTAGGCTTTTATTATAAAAAAAATATATATATATATATATCTAAAAAAAATATAATTAAAGAAATAATTAAAATAGATTAAATTAAATAATAATAATAGAAAAATAATAAAGTAATATAATATAAATATAAATATAATAGTAGTATCTAAAATATTAAAATATAGAAGAAAATAATAAAATTTTTATAATATAAATATATTTTAAC